GGGTTCCTGGGATAGCTCAAAGATACCAGACCATTAGACAAAAAGACTTCTTTTTCTTTTTACCTAGTCAATAATGGCAGCAAGTTTATGATTATAGATCTGTGTTTTTCTGATGATAAACAGGAAACTACATGAAGGAAAGGCCTTTTCTTTCTTTCATCTAAGATGACAGAGAAAGTTGATATTGTTATTAGAACTAGACATTACAGTGGACAAGTCCTAATTGTGCTCGACATCGATCTTCCCTTGCCCTGTTAACAGTACCTTTCTCCTCTGGGGACTCTCTTTCCCTATACTCGTTCATGGACTTTGTGTAGGTCTGATTCTACTTTTTTGTTCCAGGGGTGGCCTTGTGACCGAGTTGTGGCCTGTAAGAGTACTCCATCTTTCTGGCCACAGGAGATCAGAAGGAGACATGGGACCCAGGCTGAGTCAATATGCTCTTGAGGATTGCGTTGAACATCAGTTTTAGGCCTTTCTGGACGTACCGGGGGTAAGACAATCCTCTATAGAGTTGGGTTGAAGCTGCTGATGGCTGTCTTGCTACCATATAGGGGAGCCCGCTAAGAATGGCGCCTACAGAGAGAATAACGAAGCTGAGAGACGAAGAAAGACTCCTAGTGGCCTGTCTGAAGGAGCTGGATCCAGCTTCACCTGAAGCTGAAACGCCGATAGATTTTAAAATCATAAAAGCCAACACATTTTCCTCTTTTGCATAGGCTGGTTTGAATTAGGTTTCTTTTCTTTGCCATTTAAGATCCACTGACTAATCACAGGTTGTTTATCAATGTCCTTAGTTTTAATCAGATGCCACAAAGAGCAGAGAAGGAAAATGCCGTCTAGTCTCCATGCTGGTGTCTCCCCACTGACAGCAGGGGCTCATTTCTCTTATTTCTCACCTTTAGAGAATGACATTATGATGGTTTTTATACTTGTGTGGCTATTATACATTCCACCCTAAATCCCTTTCTTGAGATGGTTAGCATGATCTCAGCATCTTGTTCTCCCTTTCCTTTGACTGCAGAATTCGCCGGATGCATCTTTCATCATTCCGACAGTTGCCAAGAATGTTCCCTTAGGTTGGTTCCTAGACCATCTTCATAATCGGGTGAACAAATCTTTCAGAATGTTTTCATTTACTCACCCAACCATCACCTTCCTGAATCAATTCCCTTTGCCAGAAAGATAAATCACCATGTCTTTTATGACAGGGAAAGAAGCATACCTCTTTCCCATCCATGTGTCTACAAACCCCTTCTTCAGATAAACCTTCTTCTAATTTAGTTGAAGAGTTAAAAAAAAAAAGCTGGGAGGAGGTATGATATATTCCATGCAACTCTTTAAAAAAGACAGTAGTTATAGAGGTACTGATATTTTAAGAAAACTCTCGAGCCATCTCATTTCTGACATTACTTACAGGATATTCATGTTCCTGTTAAATAAGCACATAATCTTTATCTGCCAGTAAATAAAACAACAACAGCCCAGTTTACTGCCAGAGGACAGTGCCAGTCTTAACAAGTTTGACAGAAAATAAAACACCAGCAGATAACAGATATTATGTTTTACTTGGGCAAATACTAACACTTCACAACGAGCATATCTTGCTTCCTTAATTGGACCTGTAGACGCTCACCAGGCCTCTTCACCTGCGGCCACGGAAACGCTCTCAATTTGTTCTTTCCAGCTTTGCAGGGCCTCGGTGGGGAAACAGCCACAAAACAGACTGGCTGGAAAGATTCTCAAGGTCTCGTGTTCATATTTACCAATCTTGCGATCTGTGTGTCTTCACTGATTGTAACACAAATACAGGGAAGAAATCAGGAGCTACCACGGGGACAGAGAAAAGGCCCACCTGGAGAGAACAAGGACAGAGGCGTCTGCAGAGGCGACTCCCCAAGGGTCGGTCGCTCTCCCAGCACCCGACGGCCACCCTGCCCCCGACAGGGCCCAGTGCCGTTTCTCCGAGCTCGTCTAGGAGCTCACACCTCGGTGCGGTAGCGTTTCTCACACACACCATTGCTGTTTCTTCCTATGGGCTTAGATGTCTGTATTCATGGCTCGATTGATTGTGACTTCCTCCAAGGTAGAGATAATATTACATTCTGGTGACCAGCACCTGGCCTATACTAAGTCTGAGTAAATATCTGTTAGAATTGAACAGGAGACAGAGAGAAAAGAGAAGGAAGAGAGAATGATATCAGAGCAAGGAGGGTCCAAGCGAAGGTGGGAGAAGTGTCAGCTCGGGCCCCTGGGCAGGGGGGAGGGTGGAGAGAACAGCTGAAATGAGGGCGGGGCAGGTCCAGGAAGTCCATGTCCACCGAAGAAAGGTTATTAGTCACATCGACAAAAATACATTTTCTTTTAAAACATAATCATTGATTGTAAGCGAGTGATTGCTTTCATTATTTTGGCTTTGAAGACCTTTGTGAGCATACTTACAGTCTTTCTGGCCTATTTTAACACTAGTTTCGATGTAATTATTAAGTAACTTATCTTCCTAATTTCCTTCTCGGGAGTTCAGAAGTTCTCCAGTTCAGTGTGCCTCGGGGGAATATTTCTGAGGCCTCTCAATGAGGTACTGGACTTGGGGAGATCTGAGTCTATGAAAGTATTTTTTGATGACACTGGTCCATGGAGTGATCTTGTTAGAGAATCTGAACGACTTTGGCACTTACTGAAGCAATTGGAATTGATGCTGTACTTTTATAATGTAGGTCAGAAACCTTGAGGACCACCTGGAGAAGCACCCGGGGGCCTTCTCTGGGCCCCCATTCCTCCCTCTCATGGACTGTTGATCGGATTTTAACAAGTGATGCTGAAGACCAGCACGACCCAGGAACCACAGTCTCATTCATAAAAGCTGCCTGGTTGAGTCTGGCGGACTAACAGGAATGAAATGTTAACTTTCTAAACGTGCTTTCCTAGATCTCTTCAAAAGTAGCAAGTCAACAGTGCGATTTCTCAGGCCCATGCTGGACAAAAGATACCAGTGTTTTTCCTTGGCTTGGGGAGAGGACAGGAAAGGACGCTGAGATTCTAATCCCTGGTTTGGAGTATCTCAGGCGATGACAAAGAGCTCTCATCTTTTATGACAGAGCATTTCCCAAGCATCCCTTTGGGAAGCCTTAGTTCCCAATTGTGTGGGAAGCAGAAAATCAGTCACTTTTGGCAATGCTCAACACACCCGAGCATGGGAAACACAAATTAAAATAGAGATACTTCTTTACTCACTAGGATGTTTGCCTAGTTGCACTTTTACTTGGCATGAAAATAGAATCGTCAGGACAGGAAGGACCCACGTGTGCAGTTGCCTAGCTCAGGTTTGGTGACGGTCAGAGAAAACTTTGTCTCATGAAGGCTAAGCATTTATCGACTTGATATAAAGAGATCATATAAAATAAGGTCAAAGAGCAGGACTGTTTATTTTGCTCACAGTGGCTTTGAGATGGAGGACTTTCCAACTACACATGGTGTTCCGTTTTGGTTTTGGGGGAAACCACTTCCCTTTATTTTATTGCTTGTTTGTTTGACTGAGGGAGGAGAGTTTCTCATCAAAGCCAGTAAGTCCATCTCAATTAAGTTTGAAGTGCGGTGAATTGTCATCCACATTGTTATTCTGTAGAAACTGTTTTCATCTGCTACTGGGAATTTAAGTGACCAGTTGCCTCATCACTGCTAATATCATTCTGTTTAATTCAAACATCTGTAATAAAACCAATAAACAGCTGTTTGTTCTGACCTATAGTCACAAGATGCCTATCTCTGGAAGAAGCTGAAGCCATTTGGTTGGAGGCTTCCTCTAACCCTTACAGGCATTTCTATCGTATGTGGGCGAACCCTCGGGGCCCAGGGATTTAGTGGCTCCACACGACAGTGGTGGCTGGAACTGACCTGCACCCGGCAGTGGGAGCCCAGCTGCGACGCCACAGCACCGAAGCGAAAGCCGGAGGGAACCGCTCAGTCCCTGGGCTCTGCTCTCCCAGCCCCGATCTTGTGAGCACACATATGTGTGAAGATCAGAACACTTTCTCATAATAGATTTGCCCTTCGGGGCCACCGGGGATAAGAGAGTTCCTTATGTGGTTCTCAAGAAAGCACTAAACACAGCAGCAGAAGGTGGAAGTCTTCCATAGGGTGAGTGAGAGCGGTCACAACGAGGACGTACTGTCACCACGTGCAGCTCTGCTCGCGTAGAAATGTTAGCAATGAGAGTGACGTTGTCTGAACACCAAAACTCAGTGTCAGGCACTGTTCTAAGTAAGTGACATGGACTTTTAATCACACTCTAAACACCCCTCCTCTGGGGCATTTTTGTGGATGCTCAAGAGTGAAATGTACTTTGTAAGTACAGCTTTGCCTTCTTGAAAAAGACATGAGAACAAATCACTGTCCTGAAAACAACAACAAAGATGATCTCTTTAGAGGTCACAATATTTTTTTCTGTTCCCAAATGTTGAGAAATTTGCAAATAGAATCCTGTAATACAAAAATTGCCCTTGTCTCAAAATAAAATGATCTCAGTGTCTGGTAAGAGCAGCAAAATCTGAATTGTTCAGATGCAATATACAAACAATGATATCTCTGAAGATAAACCTTTAGAAGTTTACTTCTCATCATTTTCTTAAGGCGAGATGCCTTATGTTACATGTTCTAGTAATGCTTGTCCAGATGTCTGAGACCCAAGAGATGGAGGGCAAGGATTAAGGTTCAGTAGATGACGAAAAAGACTCCTGGTCCTCTTTAAAACAGCGAACATCTGCTCCACCCCAAGCTGGTGTACAAGTCCAACAGGGAGTAAATATGAGAGCAATTATGATGAGCTACTGTGCATTAGTGTGGTTTGATTTATGGGAACAACTTCTGTGGGAGAGGAGGCTGTGGTTGGGGTAACCCAAATATAACTTGATATATATAGAACATGTTCTTGGCCATGTTCTTCTGCTCCAAACGGTCTCAGTAAAGATAAATTCCATGACTGGAATCAGGCGTGGGCTTACCCAGTGAAGGTCATAGTCAGACGGCCTTGCTCTTCCTTCGTCGTCCTCATAGAATGCGAAACCTTCCCTCCGCGCCTGATAATATTCCCTTCGCAGCTTCTGGATGCGGTCAGCACTTCCGCTCACGGGCCGGCTGCTGAGGACATACACAAACACGGTCACACGGTGACTGACATCCTCAAAACGCACTTTTATATCTTCTTCTTACTGGAGCTGACTTCTACATTGGAAAGAGTCAATGATGTCATTCAAATATGCTAGGAAAACTGAAATCAGTAATAACAATGAACAAAACTCAGTCCTGATGTGCATAACTTTGGCTCCAAAGGTCAGATCGTCTGACTTGAGATTAATAAATGCCTTTTCAGGGAGCAGGTAAGAGAAGGTCCTGACCTTTAGAGCAATTAAAAGAGCCATTGCATTTTTCTTTTCTTAATTTTGTTTTTCTTTATTGATTTTTAGAGAGAGAGGAAGGGAGAGGGAGAGAGAGATAGAAACATTGATGAGAGAGAACAATGATTGGTCGCCTCCTACGTGACCCCCCCTGGGGATTTGGCCCACAACTGAGCATGTGCCCTGACCGAACCGGCGACTTCTTGGTGCATGGGTTGACACTCAACCACTGAGCCACACCGGCCGGGCCACTGAATTTTTCTTATACTTGTAACCACAAAGTTTGGTTACATTTTTATGTGGGTATCTCATTTTCTCATCTAACTGTTGCTTACTAGAGACCAGTTGCTTGATCTGAAGGTTGGATGTGACAGAGTTGACATGTGCCAGTGTTCACTTCAGTGAGATCCTGAATTTTTGGAGCAGGGGATGAGGTACATGTACATGCCAATACATGGGAACAGGCTGGGCACAGGGACACGAAAGAAGGTGGAAGCCATGACAAGAAGTAAAAAGAAAAACAGAAAGCTGGTGACAGCGGAATGTGTCAGTTTGGTTGCTGGTCCAGGGTACTCTCTGTGCTTTCGCTACTTCTTCCTCTCAGGAATTACGGCTTCTCCAGTGACCCACCCACTCAACCCCAACTGGTCAGCTAGTGGCGCCCTTTTAGCTGGTATTGTCCCCATCATTTCAAGAGAGCCAACATCATCTGATACAATCCAGGGCTCAGAAACAAGAGAAGAATGATAGGCAGAGCTCAACGGTTGTTCAACTTCTTTGGTTCATCTGAGGTATATCTGAGAGCCCTATTGTGTTGGACCTTAAGTTAAGATCTGGGAAAGGAGAAATGAGCAATTCACAGTCTTTGTCTGCAGAAAGCACACAGTCTGGGAGCTAGGGGACTGATAGGAATAGACTGCAGGCCACGGTGACAGGTGCTGTAACAGGTCTGCACAGGCAGTAAGGACACACAGACTGCTTACACTTGACAAGATGACAGCAGGGCCACAGGAGATCACGAGAGGCTTCACAGAGGAGGGGACACCCTGACCATGTCATGAAGGACCCGTAAGTACTCAACCGCGAGATGAGTGAGATGAGGAACTTCTGGTAGAGGAAAGGGCAATGCAAAGGACAGAAGCGAGAAAGCGTCTTGCTCCAGGGGAATGCAGGTAAGTTATGCGGGGCAGGCAGTGGTCCTCAGCTTCACTCGCCCTGCCTTACACACACGTCAGGTGATGTATGCTCTCTTTCTCATTAGGAAGCAAATTCGAATAACCTAATTATTTTATGAGTGCTGCTGACTTAGGATCTTTTGAATTTACTCTGGTGACAAAAGTATATCACTTGAAAATATTGGTATTTTAACTGAATTTGTAACAATGTATTAACCATAATGACACTCATGTTTCATGAGTATGTGAGAATCACTGCTCTGGCACACAGAGTATACGGGAGAAAGCAAGGAGGAGAGACAGGTGTGACCGAGAAAGGTAAGCAGGGGCCCCACTGTGAAGACTTTACATGCCCCAAAGATCCCCAGATATTACAGTTGAGTTTTAAGACTAAATAAGACAATCTGAAAACAATAGAAAGAGGCCATCTACTATTTTGTTAAAACACTTAGAAATTATACTTGTAGACTATAACAAGAAAATGGGGAGTAAACATCTTTTGGAGGAAAAGCATTCTTCCCAAACTGGACTGTAAGTAAGCTGTAAGCAGGACCACGTGTCACTATCTTACAACCTCGCTACAAAGTTAGCACTGGGTCAGGCTTCCTACGTGCCTGAGAGACACCAAGTAGCTGATGCCTTTGATTAAGAAAAGACAAACCTTTACAGATCACATACCTTTACATTTTTTTAATGGAACTTTTTCTCAAGCACTTGAAAAAGATAAGAAAAAAATGGAAGTCCTGATATGCTTTTCCGAACAATGGGAAGCTGTTTGGAACGGTTTCCTGGCTCTCGAGTCCTGGGAGCTGACTGTGATACCTGTAGCCAACGTGCTGGCTTCTGCCGATTACGTGAATGCGTGAGCTGCGCTCAAATTCACCAGATAAGTTTAATCAACACAGTGCAAACATCACGTACATAATCTATTAGTTTACCCACAGAAACTGAAGCCTTGAATTCAAGCAGAATGAAGTCATCAGTTACAGAGAAAAAGAGAAAGAAAGAAACTGATAAGGCACTGTTTAAAAAACCCCACACCACCACTCTCCTACATTTGTGGTGGAGAAAAAAACACACTCGGACTCTAAACTATTCTTCTATATAACTATAAATACATAAGTTTTAAAATATGGGTTTGATCAGATTTCAGTTCTCAGATAGAGGGATTGGGGCAAGAATACAAAATCAGCTTTTTAGGATTCAGAAAATCCCTTATGGCTGACAGGAACATGACTATTTACCCAGAAAAGAAATCTGGCCTCAGAGAAAAGAACAGGAAAGAAGTCTGGAAAGCCATGGACCGTCTACGTGCAGACATGCCGTCCTTCTCCCTTGTGTGGGTATTTGAAGGAACGCACGGGACGCCGTGCACACCTGACATGACCTGGGACCACACCTCCACACTGTCTCTTCTGCTTCTTTTCCTCCCCAGTCTCCTTCTACTGTTCCTACCTGTATCACTTTTTTTTTCAAGTGGGTGTTTTATATAATAAAATTAGGAACAGCAAATTCTGATTTCATTTTTTAGCTCTTCTCTGCAGATAATATACACAAGCTCACCACCACATCAATAAAAATGATATACACAGCTCTTGTAACCAAGGCAGTTCGTTGATTCCATTTTGTGTTGAGGATGCAGAAATTTGAAAATATAAAAATACTGTTGTGATAATAGCAGCGATAATCACAATAGTTATAATTGATAGAAATGTATATAACAAATATATTTATACAGTCTTTTATTTACTCCACTGTCTGCCCAGAGTAGACATCACTAATCAATTCCAGCTTTCTTTCCCTGTGATCCTAGACATGGCTCAGAAACCTTTCTCGACTGAGAACCTCAGAAAGCCACTGCCCATCGGCAAGAGCCGGCACTTGAGTTTGTTTTTAATTCTTGTGTCACAGGTGTTGTAAATACCTTAAAATATCAAATAAAATTGAAAGGCAGGTTTTACTGTTTTGCACCATAGAGATGAGGAATCCTGGCTAAGAGATGATCAAGGTCTACCTGAAGGCAAAGACTAGTCTTTCTACCATTGCATACTACCTGCAACTTGGGTCTCTCTCTCCCTCTGATGTGCATCTTAGAGACCGGGTCCGCTAGCAACATACTGGACCAGAATGAAAGTTAAGGCTAGCCTTCAGAACTTTCTTTCTGAGGACTCCTATTTTCCTTCCTCTAGTACATGTTATCTGTTTTATTTTTTCTGGCTTTATGGAACTTAGCAGTAGTGATTCTTAGGAATCTTTTGCCCAATGGCTTCAGAAGGGAGGTCAGATTATGATGTAACTCAACTGCTCTCGCAACTATATAAAATCAGGCAAAAGCATCAATGACCTTATTATCTCCAAGTTGTTAGAAAATTAGGCTTTCTGTATTAGTTGTTCACTGGATAAAGTTAGCTATTCTTATCCAAAAGAAAGGTTCCCATTACAGCAGTTCTATAAGCAGGAGATCAATGCCACTCCTATACTTTCAATGTGCTGAAATTTTATGTTCGATGAATTTAAACAGTGTAACAAAACAGGTGTCATAGCAATTCCTGTAAATTATACTGGAGGTGCCTTTAAAGACAGATATATAGTTAAACAGGCTCTTCTTCTTTTTATTTTAAACTTATCTTTATTGTTGAATGTATTGCAGATGTCCCTCCTTTTTCCCTTATCGACCCCTTCCTCCCCGCTCCCGTCCCCCTCGTCTTTCCCCACACTGTTGTCTGTGTCCATTGGTTATGCATATATGCATAGAAGTGCTTGGTTTATTCCCCGCCCCCACCTCCCTTCCCTTTGAGGTTTGTTAGTCTAACAACCAGTTTCTTCATATAACATCTGAGAGCTGGACAGAGTTTCAAGTTGTAGTAGAGTTCAGAAACTATGTCTTTTTCTTCATAGTCACCTATAGTAGTATATGCCCATATGCAATAAATATCACAGTAAGGCATCATCTGCGCCTTCAAAATCTAATCTTAGTCTTCCTAGTTTATAATTAACTCAACTGAAGGACATTCTGAAGTCAGTGTTCATTGGGGCATGCCCTCGTCTCCTCCCGTTACCGCTGCAAGCTGGAAAAGGGAAACCGTTACTTACTAAGCTCCTGTAACGCCCCAAGTATAATATTTACGCTTTACATACTTTGTCTCCTTTAGCCCTCCGCCAAATTTGTGAGGATGGCCCTGCTACCGATGAGCCCAGCGAGGCTCAGAGAGGCCGCGTGCGCCAGGGCGGCCCGGGGCCCGGGCCGTGTGCGCTGTGGCTCAGAGCCGGTCTCTCCTGCCAGGCGCGCCTTCTGAGAAAGGCAGCAGAAGGCAGCAGCCCCCGAGCAGCAGTCCGCGGGCATGGCAGGCGCAGGGAGTTTGGCAGAGCACGTTTATAGCCATACCTGCTGATACATTTTTATTTGCACAGGTCTGTGCAATAAAAATAGAAATAAAAGTAGCTCAAGTAATAGAAATACATACAATGAAGTCTGTATTCATTAAAGAATGATGTTGGAGCAATTGCAGCCTGAGATTGCTGGATAATTAATATTATATCTCTAACAGGCTTATGTGGGGAACTGGTA